CATGTCGGGCTCCCTGCATGGAGCCTGCTTCTCCCTCTGCCTGTGTCTCTGCCTCTCTCTCTCTCTCTCTGTGTGACTATCATAAATAAATTTTTTAAAAAAATCAAAAAAATAAATAAATAAATTTTTAAAAATAAATAAATAAAAATCTTAAAAAATAAAAAAAACTTTAAAGAATAGAATAAAAATGTTTATTAAAAAATGTTCATCTAGGGATCCCTGGGTGGCGCAGCAGTTTGGTGCCTGCCTTTGGCCCAGGGCGCGATCCTGGAGACCCGGGATCGAATCCCACGTCGGGCTCCCGGTGCATGGAGCCTGCTTCTCCCTCTGCCTATGTCTCTGCCCCTCTCTCTCTCTCTGTGACTATCATAAATAAATAAAAATTAAAAAAAAAATGTTCATCTATGAGTTTGAAAGTGGGTTTACAGTTTGTAAGGTTTAAATGTTAATTCCTGTTCAGTACATAAAATAGTACAGCTAAAACATCTACATTCAGTTTTATTTTTTTAAGTCCTTATCAAAGATACACATTGAAGTAGACAGTGAAATAGGGAAAAAAAAGGGGGGGGGGGGCAGCCCAGGTGGCTTAGTGGTTTAGTGCCGCCTTCAGCCCAGGGCCTGATCCTGGAGACCCAGGATCGAGCTCCATGTAGGGCTCCCTGCATGGAGCCTGCTTCTCCTTCTGCCTGTGTCTCTGCCTCTGCCTCTCTCTCTCTCTCTCTCTCTCTCTCTCTCTCTCTGTCTCTCACGAATAAATGAATAAAATCGTTAAGAATAAATAAATAAAAATATGCCAGTCTCCCAACTCTTGTGCCAAACGAACAAAAAATGCAGAGACAGCTGAAGCTGGCTGATGTATATATGGAGAATCACCACAGTTTCTACTTCTATGCAGCTTGAAATTTTCAATTTTAGAAAGTTTTTTTGTTATAAAACCTAACAAAAACAGACCAAAACAAAAAAACTAAGAAAAACTATGTGTATCATGAATAAACTTCTCCCAAGAAACCAATGTCTCCATCTGAAACTTCTAAACACAAGATAATACCAGTCATTTCAGCCAAAAATACATAAAGTACTTTATTTTTTTTTTAATGTATTCATGATAGTCACACACAGAGAGATAGAGAGGCGCAGAGACATAGGCAGAGGGAGAAGCAGGCTCCACGCACCGGGAGCCCGATGTGGGACCCGATCCCAGGTCCCCAGGATCGCATCCTGGGCCAAAGGCAGGCGCCAAACCGCTGTGCCACCTAGGGATCCCCATAAAGTACTTTAAAATTACTTTCAACACAAAGCGTGTCTTATCTCTTTATTAAATAGTAACTACACAGCAGTATCTTATCTTTCTTTGGTGTTATTATTCCTCCACCTAGTAAAAGAGCCCAGGGTATTTTTTCCTTTTTCACCTTTATACATTCTTGTCATATTTTTTATGACTAGCACTACAACTAGTTCTATATGTATATACATGTATGTATACCTAACACACATAACATATAAATGCACGTATAACCAGGACTATTCCCATCATTACTGCTATTTCATCTACTATTTAACAGTGGACCCATTGGGTATACTTGACCTTTTAAAAAGCATGACAATAGGGGATCCCTGGGTGGCGCAGCGGTTTGGCGCCTGCCTTTGGCCCAGGGCGCGATCTGGAGACTCCGGATCGAATCCCACATCAGGCTCCCGGTGCATGGAGCCTGCTTCTCCCTCTGCCTGTGTCTCTGCCTCTCTCTCTCTCTCTCTCTCTCTCTCTGTGTGTGTGTGTGAGACTATCATAAAATAAATAAAAAAAAAAAAAAAAAATTAAAAAGCATGACAATAAATAAATAAATAAATAAATAAATAAATAAATAGCATGACTCATCTGAAAAGGTTTTAAAAAAAAATCTCTCAATAACACATAACCTTCAAAATAGCAGCCAAAGTGACTGAGGAGAAAAGCTGTGAACTATAGTCCATATATACTGTAGTTTACACATAGATTTTTAATTTGTAAGCATATGATGCATTAGAGAACGTGAAAATATCAGCTGAAATTATTCAAGACAAACCATAAACATCTTCAAATAAAGTTTGTAAGTAAATTACTACATAACTTTGGAAACTACAGTGGAGAGAACCTTAAAACATTTGAGCTTAAGACTTAACCTATCATACTATATCCTCATGTTGTTTCAAAATAAAAAATGTTTACTATACTACCATTTAAATACATACTTTGCCTTTTCATTATTTTGTCTGCCTTTTCATTACTTTAATAGCAAGTATACAGAGAACAGTCTTCTCCAAATGTGTATCCAAAAGGATGAAAAAGGGAACAAAAAAAGAAAACTCAAAAGGGTAAAGAACCACGTTATATCAACTTCCCTATCAAATAGTACTACTAACCAAAAAGCAAATACAAAATATGTTCCATAACTTCACTTCAAATGGCACATTTGAAGGCAGTTTCTTTAATTAAGGTATGTTCTTTCAAACACACAGATCAGATTTAACTAATTCTCAAACTAAGTGGATTAAAATGTCCTTTTGCCATCTTTTTTTTTTTTTTTTAAGATTTTATTAATCTAACAGATAAAGCACAAGAAGCAGCACAGCGAGAGGGAGAAGCCAGTTCCCAGCTCAGCAATGAGCAGGGAGCCTGACATGGGGTTCTATCCCAGCACCCTGGGATCATGACCTGAGCAGAAAGCAGATGCTTAACCAACTGAGCCACCCAGGCACCCCTTGCCTTCTTTAAAGAAAAAAAAAGTAGTTTAAAAATAGCTCCACCTTCAGAAGCCTGGCAGGCTCAATCCCTAAAGGATGCAACTCTTGATCTCAGAGCTCTGAGCTAGAGCCCCACCCACGTTGGGTATGGAGCCTACTTAAAAAAAATTTTTTTTAAATAAAAAAATAGTTCCACCTGCTGAAGGATATACACAGTTGTTTGTGGTACTTTTTCAACTTTCACGTATATAGAATTAGAGGAAAATTAATTAAATTGTAAATTTGGAAACCCTGCTCCCCAAAATACCCCCACTTCCAATTTACTTGACACTTTTTCTTCCTCTGGAGCATAAAACTGACTTCATTAGTTTATTCATCTTCAATCTGTTGTCAATATTTACTGAGTCTCAGCAATTAATTAGGTACTCTGGGAAGTCACAAAGGAAATATAGGGCCTAGTAACTATCCTGAAAGAGTTTATCCGTCATCTCCATAAAGGAGGAAAAATGTAGTTACTGAAACAATATCCTTGCTAAGAATGTTACAGTCCATTGTGGAGCAGGGACTCCATTTTCAAGCCAGGTTCTTTGCACTAAGTAATGCAAGATAGTACCCACAAAATTAAACAGACTCCAAAAGTGGTCAAATCTGTTATTTATGGATTACATACGCTGCTACACATTTCTACTGCATGACAAAGGAAGCCTGCTCCTGTAAGTGGAGGTTTCCAAATGTCCCAAATGCATACAAAGAAAGAGTCATGTACTCTATGAACTGGCCACTTTTTGCCACTTTCCCTAATAATAACATCCTATTTCTGCCACAAACCACTAACAAAGTTTTTGGTCACCAATATTAGGGTCTTACTTTGAGGGAACAACATCTATAACATATCCTAAAAAGACCAAACAGTAAATTTCAAAAAGCCCAACAGTTAAGAATCTTAGCTGCATCTACTAGAGAAATAGCTGAATAAAGACTAATAATGGATTATCTTTCTAGTCTTCAAGTTGTAGATGAGAAGTCATCTGTGGCCTCACATTTCTGTTGGCTCAGGAAATTTCCTTTCTCTTTGTATTTTGATTATGTTTTATTCTTCTTCCTCTTGTGAATTGTTCTGTATGGAATACTAGAGCAGGTATCACGGGGGGAGGGGGGGGGAGTACTGCCAAGACCAGCAATTTTCTACGAATCAGTGGCCTTCCCATGATCATGAACACCTTAGACAACTGATGATACAATTTCCCAAACAAAACTGTATCAAGCAGCAGTTTCATTCTACTTGTCAACTTTTAGGTCTAATTCTATACACCTAAAATCCTAGAAAGAAAGAAGGAAGGAAGGAACAAAACAAAACAAAACAAAACCCCTACAACCCTACCAGATTTGCTCCCAAACTTTCAGAATTGTCAAATATGTCTGCAGTATTAAACCTAAAGAAGACACATCACTTAGCTGAATCACATAAAGAACATCAAATCTAGATTTCAGTAAAAGGTATACTAAAATCATATTCAGACATCAGAAAGGCAAGATCCCACAATCCAATCACAAATACTGCATAGGTATTACCGCTTCGACTAGTGTCCCAACTTTTCAAGCTGTGGGACTCTAAATTATTCGGAGTAATAGCTTAAACTTGAGATTCACTACAAACCGACCAAACGAAATTAAGGGGAAGAAAAAAAAAAAAAAAAGACACACCTTAGTTTCAACACCCTATGGATAGATAATAAGAATTTGCGAATTACAAAGGAATGGGGTAAAGACAGTAAATTCGGTTTTGACTACAATACACGTCAGAACAGAACCCGAGTTACCTAAACAAACGTTACCTACTGCCAATAAACAGATCATTTCTTAACAGCTTAAGTACGCCAACCATTTTTTTTTCATATTTAAAAGCGCTGCTGCCAACTGTCCAAGTCGAACAAATAGCCAAATTCTAAGCAGGTCTTCGGCGAGGAGCCACTGTGCTTAGAGCATCACACAAAAGACCGGAGCAAACATAAACACGCTCTGGGCCTTCGCAGGCGGCGGCCAGGAGCCAGGGTCTAAGTCTCAGACCCCGCACCAGCGAGCGAACGAGGGGTGGCAGTGGCGGTGGGGTCCTGGTCTCGGAAGGCGCGGGGGAGCTGGTTAGGGACGGCAGGGCAGGGGCGGGCGCCGCACAGGGGGAGACAGAGAAGCAGCGGGCCCGCGTCAGCGGCTCCCAAGGCCGGCAACACCCTCGGGCCCGCACCAGGCCTGGCCCTCCCGGCCCCGGCCCGCCTCCTCACCTCCCTCACGTCCTGCAGGCACTCGAGCACCGCCAGGTTGTTGCTCCAGGTGTGCTTGGGACACACACGGGTCACGTCCTCCCTGCAGGACTCTTCCTCCGCCAGCTTCCAGCCCCCGCCGGCCCCGCCGGGCCCCGCTCCGCCCCGCCGGGCCGGAGGCCCACCCGCCGGGAAAGGCGGCTGCGGCGGCTGAGGCGGTTGCTGCTGCTGCTGCTGCTGTTGCTGCTGCTGCTGCTGGTGCTGGAGCTGAGATGACTGAGGAAGCTGGAGCAGGGGCTGACCGGCCGGCCCGCCGCCTCCAGGCTGCCCTACAAAGGACGGAAAGTTGGCCCCCGGGCCCTGGCCCTGGCCATGGCCGCCCTGGCCCGTGAGTTTCTGGGCCCCGGCCGCCGCGAGCAGCAGCAGCTGCAGCGCCGCCGACAAGCGGAACATCCTCCGTACACGTCCACACGCCGCCATCTTGGGTCCGCGGCGAGCTCGACGCACCCGCCGGCGCCGCGTATTTAAATGAGGGGGCGGGGCCGTGGGCGGGGCCCGGCGGGGCCAGCTTGAGCCCCTCCCCGACCCGCGCCGACCCGGGAGCCCCGAGCAAAGCCTTGGAGCAGGCTGTGCTGGAAACGGCCCACGCCCTGGGCCCCGGAGGCTCTTTGCCCGGGGGGGATTGCTGGAGCTCCTTAGAAAGCCTGGGCTGGGCTGCTTTGCCTCATCCCTCGGTCGTCGTCACAGAAAAAAAAAAGAAGAGGAATTGGGACTGCCACAACCAAGATGGCTGGTAGAGGATGTCGTCTGTTCAGTGATGGGGTGGGGAGGGGAGAAGGGGGAGGGCAAAACCAAAAAACTTTGTGTGTAGAGATGAACTCTACACGATCAGGTGTATTCCGAAATCTAAGATCCTCTTCTTGCATCTCTCCCTGCTGCTTTGCACCTGCCTCAGAATCTTTCTTACCCAGGGAGGAAGGCAGCACTGAATGATGGTTAGGTTCCGGAATAAGAAAAGACCCAGTTATAATTCTTGCTTCCCTGCAGACTAGGCAAGTCCTTTAACCTTCTGGGCCTCTCCCTTCTCGTCCCGTGAAAAAGTGGATGAACTCTAAAGTATAATTGTGAAGATTAGAAAAAATAATGAGCAAAGTGCCTAGCCCACAATAGAGAACTCCAAAAGTTATAGCCTATATTATTTATAAACTGGGAAGCCTTTTGTGCGGGAGTCCGGATTGTAGACCAGAACTTAACCTCGTGTTTAAAAGAGGAGAAGAAAATAAGAGAACTGGTCTTTGCGGTCTCAGGTTAAGTCTGTGCCTTGGGGAGCTGTTTTTGGTGACCTGCAGGCAGCGTCTTCAGCATGTTAGGCAGGGATTGGTTGTTTCACTTCACATCTGTGTCCCCTCCCTCTCCCTAGGAGAAGTGATACCTTCTCAAAGGTCTTCATATCCATTGCATCATTTGAACCTTGTATCAGGCCTCGGTTGGATTCTAATTCAACTGAGGAATGGCACAGTGATGGTAACAAATTCTGCACAGCAGGGTTAAATGACCTACCCAGAATGAACTCTGCCAGCCTGGGACTAGGATCTGTGTGGCTTCCCACTGCCCTTGTGCACTTTTATCCCATTCTCCCAATACCGCATGTTGAAGAATAAGGACAGCGAGGAGTATATAATCTCCAACTGGTGATCTGTGTTCAGAAATGCAACTTCTTCTGTCCTGACCTGCAAATGGGTAGTAAAGATAAGATCAGACATAACTAGAGTCTAAGAAGTCAGGTCAAGGGGGTGGGGCACCTGGGTGGCTCAGTCAGTTAAGCATGGGACTTTTGATTTCATCTCAGGTCATGATCTTGTGGGTTATGAGATCAAGCCCCATGTTGCATTCAAGCTCAGTCAGGAGTCAGCTTGAAGATTCTCTCCCTCTGCCCCTCCCACCACTTGCATACTGTCTCACGCTCACTCTCTAAAATAAATCAGGGATGCCTGGGTGGCTCAGCGGTTAAGCGTCTGCCTTCAGCCCAGGGCATGATCCTGGAGACCTGGGATCAGGTGCCGCGTCAGGCTCCCTGCAAGGAGCCTGCTTCTCCTCTGCCTGTGTCCCTGCACCTCTGTGTCTCTCATGAATAAAAAAACAAAATCTTTTTTTTTTAATTTTTTTTTATTTATTTATGATAGTTACACACAGAGAGAGAGAGAGGCAGAGGGGCCAAAGGCAGGCGCCAAACCTCTGCGCCACCCAGGGATCCCCAAAATCGTTAAATAAAATAAAGAAATCTAAAAAAAAAAAAAAGCCAGGTGGGGACTCAGACACCCCATAAAGGATGACTGAGAATATTCTGGGGGTACAAACTGCCCACTATGAGTGACAGCAGGCCTCTATCTCTGGGAATGAGGGTACATTGGCATCTTTGCCAACACTCCTTCCTGCTACTGCCATAAAATGGTCCTGAGGCTGCTGCCAAACTTTAGCGTTGACTAAGGCAGCACAGAGTATACCAGATAAACATACATGTTCGTTAACAGATAAATGGGTTAGGTAAACTGTCAGTCAGCAGGCTAGAGACATTACCAGAAGTTGTTGAAAAGTCACTAGGGGCCATTAATTTTCAATAGTGGGTCTGCATGTGATTAGACAACAAATGGGAGATTATTTTAAACTAGTTTAAGGGAGCTCCTGGGTGGCTCAGTCAGTTGAGCCACTGACTTGGTTTCGGCTCAGGTCATGATCTCAGGGTCCTGGGATCAGGCTCTGCACTCAGTGCAAGCCTGCTGGAGATTATCTCCCTCCCTCTCTGCTCCTCCTCTGCTCTCTTGCACTCTGTCTAAGATAAATAAATAAAATCTTTACAAAAAAACAAAGTAGTTTAAGGCTAGGAGGCACTGGCTGCTTCAGTTGGAAGAGGTCGCAACTCTTGATCTCAGGGTCATGAGTTCAAGGCCTACATTGCATGTAGAGATTAAATAAATAAAATGTTTTAAAAAAAATTTTAAATAAACTAGTTTAAGGCTAGAGTTTGGCAATCTGTTAAGAGAAGCCAGCAGTTGCCTCTCAGCCTGCTCTGAGGAAACCCTAAACCCAGCCACAGATTGCCTCTGGAGATAAGGAGGAGTATATGTGCCTATCTTAAAATCACAATGACCAAGAAGCAAGAAAACCCAGAGAAATCTGGGAACCTTGCCAGTTCAGTCTGTGTCAGGCAAGTCTAGACTTTATTTAAGATACAAACCCCTAAGCCAGTGGGAAGAGGGCTGACCTAACTTGGTCTCCCAGCCACAATGACTTTTCAATATAAGATAGACTATCTCTAGGCTGCCTGAGTGGCCCAGTTGATTAAGTGACCAACTCTTGGTTTCAGCTCAGGTCATGATCTCTGGGTCCTAGGATTAAGTCCCAGGTCAGGCTCTGCACTCAATGCAGGGTTTGCTTGTCCTTCTCCCTCACCCTCTGCTTCTCCCCCTGCTCACACTCTCAAATAAAATCTTAAAAAAAAAAAAAAAAGACTATCCTAAACTATGAACTCATTTCGCCCTTTATTGTACCTTTTTTTTTTTAAGATTTTATTTATTCATGAGAGACACAGAGAGAGAGAGAGAGGCAGAGACAGGCAGAGGGAGAAGCAGGCTCCCTGCAGGGAGCCTGATGTGGGACTGGATCCTGGGAATGCAGGATCATGACCTAATCAAAAGGCAGACACTTAACCGCTGAACCACCCAGGCATCCCTGTACCTTTTATTTCTTGATCCTGACTTCCTTGATTCACTCAATAGATGTCTATTTATCTTTCTTTTTTTATGATAGGCATTGCTCAAAAATCAACTTATATGAGGGGCACCTGGGTCACTCAGTGGTTGAGCATCTGCCTTTGGCCCAGGGCATGATCCCAGGGTCCTGGGATCGAGTCTCACATAGGGCTCCCAGCAGGGAGCCTGCTTCTCTCTCTGCCTCTCTGCGTCTCTCATGAATAAATAAATAAAATATTTTTTAAAAATTAACTTATATGAAAGATAAACAATAAGACAGTAAACAAAGAGCAAGATCATTTCAGACCGTTTAACTGCTATGAAGAAAATATAAGACATATGGGGTGATGGAGGTAGGGAGAGGATTTTATATAAAGGCAGCTGGGGAAAAACTTTCTGAGTGATACTTGAACTAAGAGCTAATCACCATAAAGTTGCCAGCCATGTAAAAAATCTGGATCTGAAGTTGTCTTAGCCTGTTCAGGTTGCTATAACAAAATACCACAGACTGTGTGGCTTATAAACAACAGACATTTGTTTCTCACAGTTCTGGTGGTTGGAAATCCAAGATCAGAGTGCTAGCATGGCCAGGTTCTGGTGAAGCCTCTTTTTTTTTTTTAATTTTTTTTTATAATTCATTTATGATAGTCACAGAGAGAGAGAGAGAGAGAGAGGGGCAGAGACACAGGCAGAGGGAGAAGCAGGCTCCATGCACCGGGAGCCCGACGTGGGATTCGATCCCAGGCCTCCAGGATCGCGCCCTGGGCCAAAGGCAGGTGCCAAACCGCTGCGCCACCCAGGGATCCCCTGGTGAAGCCTCTTCTTGATTGCAGATTGCTGACTTCTCGCTGTGTTCTCACATAGTGGAAGGGGCTAGGGAGCTCTGGGATAAAAACCCTAATCCCATTTATGAGGGCTCTCCTCTCATGATCTAAGCACCTCCAAAATGTTCTGTCTCCCAATACAGTCATATTGGCTCTTAGGATTTCAACATGTACATTCAGGGGCAGACACACATATTTAGACCAGAGCCAAAAGGTTACAAAAGCAGAGATTAACAAATTCAAGACCCTAATGTGGTAATAAGCATTCAAAATAAAGGTCTAGGGATGCCTGGGTGGCTCAGTGGTTGAGCACCTGCCTTCAGCCTAGGGCATGATCCTGGAGTCCCGGGATTGAGTCCCACATCGGGCTTCCTGCATAGAGCCTGCTTCTGTCTCTGCCTCTCTGTGTCTCTTGTGAATAAATAAATAAAATCTCAAAATAAAGGTCTATAGGGCCCCTGAGTGGCTCAGTGGGTTAAGCCTGAGCCTTCAGCTCAGGTCAAGATCCCTGGACCCTGAGATTGATTGAGTCTGCATCAGGCTCCCTGCTCAGCAGGAGTCTGCTTCTCCCTCTTCCTCCACCCCTCTTATCTGAGCTCTCCTCTCTCAATAAATGAATGCAATTTTATTTTTTTAAAGGTTTTATTTATTTATTCATGAGAGACACGGAGAGAAAGGCAGAGATATAGGCAGAGGGAGAAGCAGGCCCCACGCAAGGAGCCTGATGTGGGACTGGATCCCAGGATCCCGGGATCACACCCTGAGCCAAAGGCAAATGCTCAACCGCTGAGCCACTCAGGCATCCCAATAAATGCAATTTTAAACAACAACAACAACAACAACAAATAAAGGCCTAAATGATTGAATTAAAATGAAAAAAGGGAAGGAGAAAGAATCAGTAACTGGCCAGGGGGCAGA